ATCCATTAAAAAAATATGATATGACCCATTTTATTTTGTCTTTAATCCTAATTCAAGGTTTAAAGAGAGGGATAATTTAGGATTAAAGACAAAATAAAATGGTCATCATATTTTTAATGGGTCAGGTTAGGTGGGTGGATCACTAAATGATTTAATTTATTTTTTAAAACTTTTAGTTTGTTATATAAATAATAAATATCAAAAAATTTTAGTTAAAAAATAATTTAATGGATTGAGTGACTTTTTGAGGAAAGAGTGAATAGTTGAGTGACTTTTGAGTTAAAATTCAAAGTTGAGTGACTTTCTGAGAAAAAGTGCGTAGTTGAGTGACATTCTGAGAGAAGAGTGCATAGTTGAGTGACCATTTGAGGTAATAACTCCTATTACTTTGATCATTTTATAGTAAGTGATGTTTCTAGTATAGACGCCCATTTTCAAAAACTATTCATTTCTAAAAACTAAATTACATTTTTATTAATCAGATATATAATAAATGACTTGAAAAAGATGTACTAGTTGTTTAGTGTCCCTTTAATGAAAATCATGTTTATTGAGAAATCAATAAATAAAGCATCTGAATATTATTGACACTCTCCTAATAAATTAATCAAAAATTTGGTAGTTTAGCTAGTTGAGTAGTAAAAAAAAAGGTAATAGATATTGATGTGAAAACAATATCACATTTACGAGAAATCTGAACGTGAAACAGTAATGTGTTCATCCTTCCAAAAGAAGCAACAATAAAGTAACGACAACACAGTCTTTTACATAAAAAAGCAACAATCATTCACAATTTATAGGCATTAAATTTAACAAGATCTTGATTGGAAAAATATATATATGAAATTCTTTGTCATGATATGTGAAAACAGCAAATTTTCTTTTCTGGTTGCTTCGGTTGCTTTTATTTGATTCAATCATTGTGTTGTCTTTTATTATTTATTTTTTTCATTTGGTGTTCAGTTATTTTTCTTTTTAATTAATTTTAATCTATTATATATTTTTAAAACAAATTTTTATTTTTACTTTATCACTTTAACTTCGTTACTTTGCTAATTCAATTTTTATGCAAGTTTGGACGTTTGCAATAGAAGTGGCCAGGATAAAAGGGGTAAAGATGTAGAATATATTCCTTCCCAAAATATCATAGGTTGGATATCTAATTTCTTTACTTTTTTGATAAGGATCGTAGTCCATTCTTTGATTAATTTCCATTTCCTTGCCACGATTATTAATAAAAATAAAAAAAGGAAAAGAAAGAGCATTCCATCCATTGATAGAAGTGTATATAAATAGTATATACTTACGTGCTTAATCATGGGATAGAAAACTATGCTTCTAAGAAATTATTATTCTTTTCGTCCGAGTTATTTTGATTTGGTATAAAGTTTAAGAAAGAAAGTATTTTGATATCTATAATCTAAAATAAGTTATAGATATTTGTGCGACTATAAATTATTTCATTAAGAGTAAGACGAATATTTTAAACTTAAATTGTCACTTAATATAAAAATATATGTGGGGACAAACTAAAAAATATATAGCTCTGTCATATAAACTACGATAGACGAAGTAACTTGTTGACCTTAAACTAACACTCCATTTCAAAATAAGTAGTGTTTTGAGCTTGAATGCACCATTTAAAAGAGAAAAATTATTTATTCCTAAAAAACATAAACATGTGATTTTTAATATTTTTTTCATATCAAAATAAGTATTACTTTGATAATAATCACATTTTTAAGCAATCAATAAATACAATATATAATTTATTGAACATATATTTTGAAACGAAAAGAGTAATTAAAACATCTAAGTTCTATGTAACCTGTGAGATATCATAACTTTTTTTTTTGAAAAAATACTAAATATAAAACATAAATAATTTCAAAGGCGACTTTTAACATGATGGACACAATATTATATAAATGTGAATTTAAAATATAAATTTAATTAATTTGATATTTTAGATTTTATCACTAAATATTATTAAATTTATATATATATATATATATATGCGCGCGCCCGGAGATATAAGATCAACTGAACTCATTAATTATATGTTGTATCATCAAATATTATTGGTTTTAATGTGCATATTTGGTTTAATTATATTAAAGAATTACAATGCCAAAAAATAGGAAAATTCCAAAGCGAACTCAAACTTTTTGAAAGATTAAACAATATATATAAAATGATACCAATTACCACTTAGAGAGGTGTTATCTAGTTTTAGAAAAAAAAATATAATAATGTAGATGTAAAATTTAAATTACTAACATCTATATTTAATAAAAAAAAATATAACACTATTATATCTGTTTTTAGGAGAGGAGCATATGTTCACGTTAACCTAGTGACCCTCTTTTGCATACGCCACTACATAATAATTTATAAATTTACAATCTGATAGCTTTTAAACAGTTTTGAAGATTAAAAAGTATTTTTTGCAAAAAAAAAAGGTGCTATTTTGTTCTACTTGAAGTTTAGCTAAATAGTCGAGGATTACTCCCTTCTCTCTAATTACTTGTTTGTTTTTAAATTACACACATATTAAAAAAAGTAATGATTAAAATAGTGAGATTACTATTTTACTTGATTAATTATGAAGTGAATGAATTAAAAATTTAAGATTTTCAAAATTAACTAATTAAGCATATAATAAGTAAAAAAAAAGTTCTCATTTCTTTCTTGATTATGTCAAAATGGAAGAATAAAAAAAGAAATTAAACAAGTAATTAAGGATAAAGATAGTAACATTCACTCTGTCCAATAATAATTATTCACTATATACTTAATACACCCCTTAAGAAATAATAAATAATAGAAAATTCTTCATATTAGATTTATTGCTTTAAAAATATGTTAGATAATTAATAATTAATAATAAAAATAAAATAAATTATTTCTTAAATTTCCATGTCTCAATTTCCAGAAGTGTTGAGATAATGACTAGGCATTATTGAGTTGAGTTAAAAGACTTGTCAATGTGAAATTAGCGATGCGTTCATACTTCATCAAAACAACAGCAGAGTAACGGGAAAACATTATTTTCCGTCAAGAATCATTGACAATATTTTGGCATTAAATTATACTCTCCAGGTCTAATATTTGAGAAAAATATTAAGGTGTTTCACGTTTAAGAAAAGAAAAGAAATTAAAATTAAGTATTTTTAATAATTATTATCAAACTTATAATTAAATATTAATTTTAATACTAACTAATTGAAAGATAAAAAATTGAAAGAATATACTAAAAGTATTTTTGAAAATTGCACAAAATTATTTAGAAAAATAAAAATGTCTCAACAATTCAATTAATTTGTCCTTTATAAAATCAGAATTATAACTTTGTAGGTAATATCTCTCAAAAATATACAATATCAATAAATGTAACATTCATTTTTGAATTTTGAACAATAAAAAGATTCATAAATATAGCTTTGGAATGTTGATATAATATATTTGAGACATTACCTATTAATTGAGATAAAATGATAAAAATTTACTATATTATTTATCGTTTTTCTTAATGGGTGTATCAAATTAAAAATTGATACTCCTTTCATTCTATATTAATTGATTACTTTCTTTTTTACACATCAAGAAATTATAAATAAGAACATATTTTTACAAGTTCACCCTTAAAAACTTATAAAAAATTAATCATAAGAATAGTATAAAAAATAAATTAATGTTAACTTGATTTGATAAAGCGGATAACTAATATAGATTAACTTTTTTTTATTAAGAAAATGAACTAAGATGAAACAGAAGTAAATAAATAGAGACGGAAGGAGTATGAATTTTTGTCTTTGCCATGGGAACGGCAAAGGATTTCCCATTCTATTTTCACGGGTTGCTTTTATTTGATCCAACCACCATTTTGTCTATATTTTATTTTTCTTTTTTTTGTTTTCCACCTGTTGTCCATTTGTATTGATTTTGCATAAATTCTATTGAAGTGACAAATACGCTTTACCATAAATATATTTCACATCATTACAGTCTAAGTGATCAATCTTGCATATTGTCAGGTCGGC